TTTTGCATATTTTGCATTTTTAGTAATTTTAAAATGCATAATTTTTAATTTTGCATCGCACGAACCCGTGGGCTCTACTTTATTTACAAATTTTCATCTGTCACACCGGACACGTGAGCGGAAATTAAAATAAAAGGCGTCGGAATTTGCTGTTTATCGCGTAAAATAGGAACTTTCGCGTCACTTTAATATAACTTCATGACACGCAAAAGAAAAGAAGTACTCAAGGATTCTGAAGAAGAGAATATTTCTGATTCTGAAGAGTCTACTCCAAGATTATCGACTAATGCCGCAATAAAGTTAGTTTTCGCGTTATTGTTACAATTTTATTATATTAGTTTATCTAATAAATTGAACCTTTCAGACATCAAATAGGGTCTATTGTCCGTGTAAACCTCAAAAATTTTGTAACATATGATTCAGTAGAATTTTATCCCGGACCTAATCTTAATATGATTATTGGTCCCAACGGCACTGGTAAAAGTACGATTGTTTGTGCAATTGCTCTTGGATTAGGCTGGAATACTCCGGTATAATATTTTATTTAATACGAAATCATTTAAATCAAGAAAAATTCTTATTTAATGCTTTATTACAAATATTTATCAAAGCTGCTTGGACGTGCAAGAGAAATTTCAGAGTTCGTTAAACATGGTCAAGAACGTGCTTCGATAGAAATCGAATTGAAAAATAAGAGAACAAACGTAGTTATTATGCGTATCATTAAAAAAGCTAATAATACTTCTCAATGGAAGTTGAATGGTAATATTGATTCTTAAGTCTTTAATTTGATGTTAAAATTCGACAAATGTATTAATTCATCTATCTATTAATGTTAGGAGAAAACGTTTCTCTTAAAGAGATTAACAACAAGGTGAACTCACTTAATATTCAGGTGGATAATTTATGGTAGGTCTATATTTTTCAATTTAAATTCTCTATATATGATGAATAAATTTTTAATAGCATTTGATTCCAAGTTGGCAAATTATATACATATAACAGATAATATTTATATTAATGCAGTCAATTCTTACCTCAAGACAAAGTAAGTGAATTCGCTCAGGTAAATATCGTAAATATCGCATAATTCTTGATTTTAAAAATTTTTGATCCTTTAGGAATTATAATTATATTCATTTAGTTGTCACCTCCTGAATTACTTGTACAAACTCAAAAAGCGGTTGGTGAAAAAGAGATGTCGGAATGGCATGAAAAATTAATAAAGTTGAGAGAAGAAGAGAAATCATTATCGACGGTAAATATTAAACTTTATTCCATTATAATTTTTTTCAACATACTTATTTGAATCATTATTTATTTAGTCTGCTAATGATGAAGAACAACAAGTTTCGAACCTTGAAAAAAGAAATGATATCCTAGAAAGAGATGTTATGCGTTTCAGAGAAAGAGAGGCCATTCTGAGACGAGTGAATATGATAAATATATTTCGTTTTAATTATTGCGAGCTTAATAAGCAAATTAATTTATTTTATATATCCTTAGATTGAACTTTATGAATTGAAGATTCCTTTTGAACGTTATTATGTTGCTAAAAGTAAATATGATAAAGCAAAGCAACAACGCGCTGAGTCTCACCTTACTTATCAGAACCTCCTGAAAGAAAATAAACCCATGAGTGAAAAAAAAAGGTAGGGTTCGGTATTTGAGGTTATTTATATTTGCAGGTTTATTAATATCATTTAATGTATTTCAAATTAGTCAACTTGAGGAAATTACAAAGGACACCTTTAATGAAAAGAAATTATGCTCAGAATCATTTTTCCGGAAAAAGAGACAAATGGAAGATACTTCGAATAAATTGGATAAATTGGTTTATATACTTATATCTTTAAAACTACTCGGTTTAATTTCTTTCACAATCATTTTCTAATGCGTGTTTTCTCTAACAGGGTAATGACTGTGATGATGTTCGTAGAAATTTAAATAGTATGAAAAAGAAAGAAAAGCAGAGAGAAAATAATATTGCACAACTTCGAACAGAAATTACAAGGTTGGAGGAAATGACTTCTGTTCAGCCTAAAGAAATTGATACTTCCGCAATAAGAGACCAACTTGTACGTGAATAATCTCAAAATTTTCGGACTTTTGTTTGACTCCTAAATTTATATCACTTTTCATTATATAGGAAGAACTTTCTATTCGAATGCGAAAAGTTCAACTCGACGGTAATGAAATTAATGTTAAACAAGAGGAATTGGCAGACGAAGAAAGACAAATTCAGAGCCAAATTACTTATATAAATCAACAGTAATTGTTTGGAATTTTATTACCCTGGTTTTCTCAATTCCTTATTCCGAAAAATCATTTATCTATTTATTCATAGACGTCGAGAACTTGAAGATAAAAAGAAACGTCGACTCGAGAGCCTTCGATATGAACATCATACACTTGAAGCTGTTCAATGGTTGCATCAAAATAATGATAAATTGGTTGCTCGTGTTTTTGATCCTATTTGTGTGGAAATTAATGTTAAAGATGTTCGATATGCAGATGCTGTAGAAACCGCAATCGGACAAAATTATAGGGTAAAGTATCTAAATAAAAGTATACAAATATTTTATAATTTGATAATAATTAAATTTTTATTATGAAATTTTTATCATAAGACCTTCGTTTGTGAATCCGATGATGATTATCACACAATTACAAAAGAACTTTGTGATGTGCGTAAGTTAAAGATTAATGTTGTATGCTTTTCTCATAAAACTATGAATGATTTTCCTCCTCCTATGCATCATGATGAGGTAAATATTTTGTTATCAACTACTAGCAAATATTAAAGATATTATGTACTAATTGTTTATTTAATTAGCTAAGAAGATTTGGATTTGACTGTTATCTATTGGATCAAATTGAAGCTCCAATAACGTTACTTACCGCGCTTTGTAATTTGTCAAATTTGAATAGAATTGTAAGTATTATTAAATTCTTTCAACTCTTGTTTAGATAATAAATCATTGTACATTATTTTCTCGTATTTTCAGCCAGTGGCATTACAAGATGGAAATATCAATCATAGAGAAATTGAGAGGTCTCGTTTGTTTTTTAGATATTTTGTTGGAGATACATCATATTCATTGATGTGGTCAAAGTATGGAGAAAGACTATCACAATCTTTTACAACTAGAATTAGAACTGCTACGATACTTAAAGATTCAAGTAAATATTATGATTTTAATGTTTAATCTCGAATTTTCGTTTTTGAACAAAATATGAAAACGAATTTTTTACTTTATTTTCAACAATAGTTAATATTGAGCAAAAGCGTGTGCTTGAACAACAATTTCAAGAGTTTCAAGCGTCTTTAACCAGGATTAATAATTCTCATAATGAATTTATTAGAGAGGAAGAAAAATTAAGAGAGACATATGAAAAGTTGCGTGAAGAAAAGGTATATATTTGTAGTTTCAATGAAGTATATTTATCTTCTGCAGTTTTAACGGTTTCAATTATCTTAGAATGTTCTCAATGAACAAAAACGACAACTTCAACAAGTAATGAGAGATTATCAACGAAATAAAATCATACTCGGTTAGTTAAATTTTCTCAATAAATTTCATTTTATTTATTTTATTTCGAAATCATATTTATTTTTACTTGTAATTTATATTAGATTCTAAAAAGGATCATTTGCAACGCATTCTTGACACACCTGATTCAATAAAAGAGGAGGAAGATGAACTAAGAGAAAAAATATGTGAAATTGCTAAAAAACGAGCTAGAGCTGTCGGACATTTTCAGGTTAGATTTAATGTTTTTCATGTAAGGATTTCTTAAACATGGGATCTAAATTTTTGTTTGATTTATTAATTTCAGAATTTGTTAGAAGAAAGTATGGAATTCTTTAGTAAACGCAATGAAGCCACCTTGAAATATATTCAAGCTTCATCAGATCTTATTGCTCTGGAGGCTCAAACGCAGCAAATTGATGACGCTTTGAAACGAGCACATGTTGACTTTAAAGAAGGTAATATTAATCACAATATTATTGTAACTTTAATAATTAGAACATAGATTTTAAAGCTTTCTTTATTGAAAGTTGACAGAAAGTTTAATCAAGCTAAAGCCGAAGCAAAAAGGTTGTGGGATGAATGCAATTCGAACAATATTCAGAATGAAACAATGCATGAAATTAACGAGGTATATATGTTGTTTATAACAAATCTCTGCACATAATTTTTTCGTAATATTATATATACATATATTTTGAATTTTAGCTTTGTCAAAACATGACATTGGAAGAGCTCGAAGATGCTGTTACTTCCGAACGAGCCAAGGCCGAAATGCATTATGCCGTAGATCCTCGTGTAATAGATCTATACAATAAGAGGAAAGCTGATGTGAGTTGCTTACGATTTTAGTCATACAATATAATATAAGCATAATAATATTAATGTTCGACAAATTGTTTTTGTAGATCGAATCTTTAAAATCAAAATTAGCTGTCAAAACTAATCGTTTATCTAGACTGAAGAATGAAATGACAGTAATAAAGGTATTTTTTTTTTTTTAATAATCTCTATGTAAGCTTATATACTAAATTTATAATTTGAGAAATTTTAGGAAAATTGGGAACCTAAACTGATTGAATTAATCGAAAAAATAAGCAGTACATTTTCGGATGCTTTTGATCGTAAGATATTATTTTGTTGATGTGATGAATTGTAAATCTTTTTTTTTACAAAGTTAACTCTTCTATTATATCGCTAGGTATAGGATGTGCTGGTGAAGTTCGTATCAGCACCCATGAAGATTATGAGAAGTGGGGTATCGATATTTTGGTGAAATTCAGGTTAGTATTGATTTGATTATTGTTTAATGAACTATTCATTAAGTGTTATTTTTTTTAACAGGGATAATGAAAAATTACAAATATTGACTGCTCAGAGGCAATCTGGCGGAGTAAGTTGTTGGCAACATTTTTTTTTTTTTAAAAAAAAAAAGATTGTTATTTCCACATAAGTAGCGCTAAACTTTATTTATTTCGATAGGAACGATCTGTATCTACAATTATGTACTTAATGGCGCTTCAAGAACTTGCCAAAGCTCCATTCAGAGTTGTTGATGAAATTAATCAAGGAATGGATCCACGAAATGAAAGATTGGTTCATAGTCAAATGATTCAGACCGCGTGCCGTCCTAACACATCCCAGTATGAATATTTTTTTATTATTGTCGGTTAACATCATAATTTATTATTAATTGGTTGTATCTCATAGATATTTCTTAATTACTCCAAAACTATTACCGAACCTGGAATATCACAAGCGAATGAAGATATTGTGTATTTATAACGGAGAGTGGCAGCCAGAAAAGATGGACTGGCGTAAATATATAAAAAATCGCAAAAATTAATTATTTCATGAAGAATGTAACAGTCAATAATGTTTTTATTTTGTTATTTTTTTTTTTTTTTTTTTTTTTTTTTTTTTTTGAGAAGCTGAATTTACTAACTGCGTTGCATAAAAATATTTAATTTTTTTTGACCGTTTATAACAGTGATATCTTAATACAATACACGATCTAGTGATAATCCTGATTTGTTGCCCAAAATTTCATACCATTTGTTATTACATTCATTATGCTCCTTCTTGAATTTTCTAGGCCATTCTATCTAATTTATTTCATGGAGAAAATAAGTAGCGACTTCTAAGATGGAAATCTTCTCTATATATCGTAACAAATTTTTATAAATTAATGATACATAAGTAAAAAATTGTTAGGAAATAAAGCGAAATGGTATCCGACCAAGCCAGATTAATGCATAACAAAGATATCAATCAGAACTTATAAAACTAACAATAATTAATAATCAATAAATCATACCCAAAAGGATTTTTTACGCATTTAAAGCAAACGTTTAATGATTTATGTTGTTCTAACCTACAAGTTGGTAGACTTCAAATCTACCTAATTAAAATCCTAATGATACCAATATTTCGCAACTAAAAATGAAATCTTATTTGTCAATAGCGTTGTTAGTAAAATCCTAATGATTATCATAACTTTTCTATTACAGTTTTGGATAATGGTTAAATTATTATTATGAAGTTTGGTATAATATTTGACCAAAATCTATCCTTTTAGAATTTGTCAAATTTAAAAAAGGAAAATATTCTTTTGATTCATCAACAGTAAAACAATTTGGTGAAGATATTATGAGTTTTTGGGAATCATGTTCAGGATATTCTCCAGAATTATCATGTTTTGCATTACATATTTATGGAATTTATATAAATGCTGCTTCTATAAGTAACGCGATATGCTGTTTTATTTTAATACCATAATGTGGATGAAGAATAAAAGAAAGTAGCAAAAGTAGCTGTTTCCATTGAGCCCATCTTTTTTCAAGTCTTTCTACCATTTGTATACTAAATATAAGATCAAGTAATTCATGAAAAATCTTCATAGTATATGCAAAAACATGAAGAACTTTATAAAGTCTTGCTATATCCTTTTGAAGCTTATTGAGACAAAGTGAAGTAATAAATTTTGTAATTCAAATAAAGTAGACCAAAATATTTGATCATTAATTATTTGAATAATATCAGCTGGTATTATTTTTTTATTTGTTGAAAAAGTTGTATATAGACATCTAGATTTAGTATGTTGAGGAGAAAATTTAGAATTAATGACTAAAATAATATTAAATAATATATATTAAATATTTATTTATTTTAAATTAATTTCATTAATTATTTATAAATTTTTTTAAAAAAAATCCAAATATCTTTAATACAGCTTCAGTTTTTAAAGTACTATGAAAACAAAAATAATAGCAAGAAGACGTGAAAAAAGCTAACAATTCGAATGACCTTTATGGAAATATTTTATATATAGTTGATTATTTAAAAATATCATCAAATACTAAATTCATCTGATATGTCATATATGGTAAAAATATTTTGTCTTTATATTTAATATGCATATAACGCTTATATATAAAAATATTATTAATAAAAATAAAAATTATATTTAATTAGAAATAATAATTTTAATTATATTAAATGATTAATACCTAGCAGTAGCATATTCTCAAGCTGAATCTGACACAAAACAATTAATCTTTATATTATATTTATCTGCTTGTTTAAACTACATCTTATATTTTAGATCAATTAGAATTATTCTCATGTTATTGTTTTTCCTTCTGATGTAATAAATATAACATCAAATAAATGCTCAGATCAGATATTAACTCACCATTAAATGCTGCAGTAACTTTATGTAAGTCTTTTTATGCAATATTAATTTTTTTTAACTAAATCTTCTGATATATTTGTTAAAATTGATTCAGAAAGTTTTTTTGCTGTTGGTAATTTGATTGCTAATATATAAAATTTAAAAATTTTATAAGTTTTTGGATTTTTAGCAAAAGAAAAAAGTAATCCATTTGATATAATCATATTAAAAAAAAGATCACAAAAATGTGAAGAATCTTGAGTTGATAATGAACGTGATTTGTAATTTGTAATAGAAACTTGTAAAGTTGCTTAGATTATTGTAATTTTTGTATATTTAACTTCATTTTCATAAATAGTTTTAATTTTAAATAAATAAATTAATATTATATATCAATTAAAATTATATTATAAAAATTATAAAAAATAATACACCTTTTTTTTACTTATATTTTCTTTGCTATTATCATTATTATCATAACTTAATGTAAGAATTTCTGTATATTCACTTTTATTATATTTTTTTTTTAAATTTTTCACAATTTACTAAGTGGTTATAACAAAACTTTACTTTATTAGTGACACAACACTCCTTCTTAGTTATTGCAATATTTCATGTGTATTTTTCAATACAACAAAAATATATAGCATATTTATTAGTTTTATTATTTGGATTTGATATTAACTCAAAATATGGATGAAAAGAATGTGATTAATTGCCTATTTTTTATGAAAAAATTAAAGTATAGCATTAAATTTAATTTGTGCTATACAGTGAACTTTTGATATAACGAATTCTAGAATCTGGATATCAACTTCGTTATAAGTTTATAATGAATTTTTTAAAGAATTTAATTGGCTAGTTCACTATAGTAAGTTAATTTTAATATATTTGATTTAAAAATTCACTATATCAAGGGTTCGCTATATCAAGGTTTAACTGTATACATATTTATTTGAATATTCATACATAAAAATTTTTACTTAAACTAGGATAGAGATATAATTTAACAATTAATCACTTCTATATTTGAAAGTGATCTAAGTTAAAAGAGGAATAAAGAAAAAAAATAATGTATTCCAAAATAATCTAATATAAATAAAAAAAATTAAAATAATTAAATAGAAATTAATAAATCTTAAAAAAAAATCACATATATTCAAAAAATCTCTAAAGAATCATAATTTTATTGCAAAATTCTTAGAGAAATGCACAAATCTCTAGAGAATCACATTTTATTATAAACTCTTAGAAAATTGCATAAATATCTAAAAAATCACAATTTTATTGCAAATTCTTAAAAAATTATTTAACAAATATCTAAAGAATCCTAAATTTTTTGTAAAACTCTTAAAAATATTTGCAATTAATTTTACAATTCTCTAAGAGTTTTGCAAAAATTGCAATTCTATAAAAATTTCACTAAACTTTTATTAAAGCAAATGACTAAATAACAAATGATTTAAATGATCATTAAATGATCTTAGTTATTTATTATTTGTTATTTAAATTATTTGTGAAATGACAAATGCTAAATGATTTAGGATTATAACAAAGGATTAATCAAATCCTTTAAATAGTTAAATGATTATGTTATTACTGAACATTGGTTTAGCTCGTTAGCATAGATTTTTCATTTTCAAAAATAACAAATCTGGCAGAAGAACAACATTCTAAATAATAATTTCTTCAAAGTTAAATAATTTCAACAATATTTTTTTTGAAGTAAACAATTCTAACAAAGTTTTTTTTAAAGAAAAATGATTATAATAATATTTCTTTAAAGAATAACATTTCCAGAGTTTTTTTTTAAATAAATATTTCTAGAAGTTATTTTTAAATAATAACACTTCCAGATCATTAAATTTAGATAAAAATACTTCTGTAGTATTATTAAAATACTTTTAGAGTGAATTTTAAATAATAATATTTTCAGAATATTTTATTTAAATAAAAATACTTCTGAAATGTTAATTTTAAAAAAATAAGTTTCTAAAATGTTTTATTTAAATAAAACATTTTTAAAAAAATTTCCAGAATATTTTATTTAAAGAAACACTTCTAGAATATTTATTTTTAAAAAAATGACATTTTCAGAATATTTTATTTATAAGAAACCCTTTCACAATATTTATTTTAAAAATAAATAATATTTTAGAATGTTTTATTTAAATAAAAATGCTTTCAGAATGTTATATTAAATAAAAATACTTCTGGAGTATGAATTTTAAAATAACAATACTTCAAAAGCATTTTTTTGAAGAAATAGCCTCCATGGCTTTTTTATTGAATGGAATTATTTCTGAAGGCATATTCTTGAAAGAAATTATTTCTAAAGGTATTTTTTTGAAGAGAATTATTTTTAGAAGCATTTTCTTAAAGGAAATCATTTCTGATGACATTTTTATTGAAGGAATTTCTTTTGTAGCATTTTCTTTAAAAGGAATTACTTCTTTGATAGAAATTATTTTCAGAGGTATTTTTATTAAAGGAATTACTTCTGTGACTTTTCTTTAAAAGGAATAGTATCTATGATTTTTCCTTGAATAGAATAAATTTTGTAGTTTTTTCTTTAAAATAGAATCATTGCTAAAGGCGTTTTCTTACAGAAAATTATTATTAAAAGTATTTTTCTTGAAAAAATTGTTTCTGTGACTTTTTTAAAAGAAAATTATCTTTGTAGTTTCTTCTTTAAAAAGAAAAAAACTTCTGTAACTTTTTTTTAAAGGAAATCTCAATTTTTTTAAGTGAATTTATAATATTAAGATTAATGAGATTATTAATATAAGCCTCATTAACATTTTTTTAGATTTTATTTTTTAAAAAATAAAAGACTTTTAATTGAAGTATTGAATTTAATATTATTAAAATATTTTTTTAAAAAAATAAAGTATTTTAACATATAAATTAGGAATGTTAAACGGTCTCAAATTACTGTAAACAAATATTGAAATTACGAGTTATAGAAAAGTCTAATCGCTTATCTTTAATAAGTAACCCTTGATAAATAATTGTAATAATAAATTTTATGAATAACTTATAAAAGAAATATGAACTTTGAAATCGATAATTAACATGGGATCGCCAAGGTGAGACCGATCCTTAAGACTGGTCCTAAGTTTCAAAAATTAAGATTCTGGGTTCCCGCATAAGTTTAATATATATTTTTAATA